GTCCCCAGCAAAGTGTTAAAAAGGGGCTCTCCTGGTGTGTAGGGTTCTGAGACCTTATTCCCTCTTTTATTTTCTTAATTTTCTATATGTGATTTTAAAGTATTATTACCATTACTGTATTGATTATTTTTACTCTTTCTATAATCAATATTCTCTGCGGGCCTTCACATTGTCTGTGATTTTGGGGTTTAGTTAAGTAAGAGAAGAAACACAAGATCAATGCCAGATTCTTTTCCCGCTCAATCTTTTAAGCCTTTGAGACCCACATTACCAAAGGCCATGCTGTAGGACATGGGTGAGTGGATGTCACCAAAACATGATCACCCAAGCAATCATGATGTCCCTTGTCAGCCTGGCGGGAGGACAGGAACCCAGACTCCCAAGCAGCACGATGTCCCTTGTCAGCCCGGCGGGAGGAGAGAAACCCAGACTCCCAAGCAGCACGATGTCCCTTGTCAGCCTGGCGGGAGGACAGGAACCCAGACTGGAGGCAGGGAGTGGATAAACCCAGACTCAGACTGCAACTCTGCAAAGACAAGCTATTGTTTCCAGCCTCTGCTTCCTCATCTGTGAAAGGGAAATAATACAGGGAACTTTTCAAAGTTTATCTAATTTGAAGTAAAATACTTCCAGGACACATGTGGCATGGAATGGTACTTCAAACGAAACCTTTTATCAGAGAAAGCAAGAAAGTCAACAAGGAATGGTCAAAGAAACAATTGTATGTGCCTCCCACTGTTTAAACTTTTTTTTTTTTTTTTTTAGGACAGAATCTCACTCATTGCCCTGGGTAGAGTGCCACGGCATCAGAGCTAACAGCAACCTCAAATTCTTGGGCTCAAGCAATCCTCTTAACTCAGCCTCCCAAGCAGTTGAGACTATAGGGTCCTACCACAGTGTCCACCTATTTTTCAGATACAAGGTCTCGCTCTTGCTCAGGCTGGTCTTGAACTCCTGAGCTCAGGTGATCCACCCATCTTGGCCTCCCTGAGTGCTAGGATTACAGGTGTGAACAACTGCACCTGGCCTGTTTAAACTTTTTCACAGCACTTTCTTAAAAGCGTAGAAAGCGAAGTACCCACTCTCTGAGAGAAAGGGAAGGAAATGCAGAAAGCAAGCTGGGATGGATGAGCGGGATGGACGAGGGGGATGGACGAGGGGGATGGACGAGCGGCCTGCTGCACGGCCCGCTGCACGGCCCGTAGCTGCCCCGGATACTCCTGTGCTGTGTGGGCTCAGCAAGCTCCCTGTGAGACGCTATTCAGGAGCTTCCCAAAGATGGGTCCAGCCCTAAGCCCAAGGAAGGCCATCAATATTTAAGCACTTAGCCCAGACAGAACAGTGTACAGGAGAGAAGAGAGAAATGCTCAAAGTATATACAAATGCCAAATACAAGATGAATTTGGGACACAAGCTATAGGAGTGAGATTTAAGAGAGCTGCTTCCTGCTGGGCAACTTCCTAAGGAGGAGGGAAACTCTGCTCCATCCTAAAGCAGGCGCAGGATTTCAACAGGTTATCAAAAGATGGCTCAGCATTCCAGAGAGGGGACAGCACAACTCAGTAAGTGGACAGTGACGCAAAGGCAGAGAGTGACCCCCGGCAAGAGAGCCCACAGAGGCTGCAAGAGATCCCTGCTAGATCGCTGTAAATCTAACAAGAACATGATGAATACTGACCGGGAATCATTGGTATTAAAAATAAGAAGGAGTGACAGAAAACGCAGTGCCTTTGAACTGGGGGGACACAGGGAACACTCTCAGCAGGGAAGTGGCGTGATCAGGGAAGTGGTGAGATTAATTTGGCCGCTGTGCGGGTGTGGAATGTGCAGGCACAGAGATCACAGGCCCGAGGTCTGGAGTCTACTGCATCAGTCCAGATCCCAACAGCGAGAGCAGCAGCTGCTCTAGGAATAAACAGGTACAAATAATAATAAACAAGGACACAATTTTATTAGTAATTCCCAGGGATACATTCTGAGCAATGCATCGTTCAGTGATTTTCTCACTGCGGACATCGTAGAATGACTGACACAAACTCAGACGGCATCACCCACCAGGCACCTCACTACATGGTCTAGCCAACTGCTCCTCAGTCACAAACCCGCCTGGTGCATCCCTGCGCTGAACACTGCAGGCGACTGTAACACAATGGTAACTAACCGTGTCTAAATGTAAAAAGTTACAGTAAAGACACAGTATTACAATCTTCTATTTAATTTTGAATTTTTTAAATGTTTTTCTGCCCATCCCCTCCTTCTCTCTTTTCCCCTCCCCCCCCCCGAATTGATTTGAGTTTTTCTCCTATGTGGGCATGTATGAGATCATCTACTGGCTTAACAGTAGCATTGAGTACACTACATTCTTGCTTCTCCATTCTTGTGACGCTTTACTAAGAAGAACGTGTTTCAACTCCATCCTGGTTAATACAAAAGATGCAAAGTCTCCACCTGTTTATGGCTGATTAGTGTTCCATGGTACACACACACCACAGTACCTGCAATCTGTCACTGTGTGAAACATCGCCACGCCCCACGTGACTCTAATGTTAAAAATCTGGGATTAACACGAGCACAAACATTAGCACAAAAAGTCAGGGAAGGTCGACTCTCTCTTATTTTAGTGTCCCTGGGATGCCTTTCTACATCCCATCAAAGAACAGCATCGTGTCCTGACAGGAGAGGGCCCCGAAAGGCTGAACGATGATCCTCAAACAGAAAGAAAATGAAAACTCCAATGTGACATATGAGCCCCCAAAACCATCCAGACCCAGCACCACATGCTGCCAACCCGGGAGCAATGCTTCTGACCACATTTAATAACAAAATTATACACTCTAGGGAATCTTTTTTTTTTTTCTTAACTAGCTTTCCTTCTGAAGGGAATGGTATGTCCCTCTTCACACCAGCCTAGCACAGTGCCCAAAGTCAACTTGCGAGCAGACAGAGCCACTGAGGCTAAAGATTCCTTCCGCTTAGGAACGGCCATTATAGAACCTTATTTAATAGCCAGAAGAAGTGAGGTGACAAGGAGGGGATGGAGGGGAAATGGAGAACAAACCAAACAACATAAATGACAGCCTCGGACGGGGGGGATCAACAACACTGCTTAAAAAAAATAATAAAAGACAGAAACTACGAGAGAGTGTAACCCACGCTCTAGTTTAGAGAAAGTGCTACACAGACAAGTGGCCCCTGGGAAAGGCAGCCACTGTCTCCTTTCCACCAGAAAAATGCACCAGGGACGAGCTCGGCAGGGACCTAGGGTAACAACCACCACATTCCTGGTTCTGAGAAAGGCAGGCACATTCCTAGTACCCAGCAATGGAAAAAGAGGAAGAGTTTTCTCCCAGAGGGCTCTTGGTGAAAAATAAGTCAAAAGAAGAGCTTCCTTGCAACTGGCATAGGGCCCCACAGCTCGGGGCCCTCATGTGACTCTGGAAACTCACCTGACTGATGGTAGATATGTCATTCCCCAAAACACTGAAAAATGAGCATTTCCACAGTTGGGAATTTTCCAGGTAAATTACTTCCTCCACGTGTTAGCATTTTAACCATTTGAAAGGAAAAGGTCCTCAAAATATACCAGACTGAACCATGGGAAATTAACATTTTTTGTAGATCAAAAGTAGTCAAGTACTAAGCATTCCACCTGGTCAACCGCAGCAGGTGCCTTCCAACTGTCTCCTACAGATATTTTAGGCTTTGAGGGCCACGAGATAAAATTGAAATTATATAGAGGGAAAAGCACTCTGGTACTTATATAACCATTTAAGATGTAACCATTTAAAAATATCAAATCTACTGCTCAGCTCCTCCAGAAACAGGCATGGGCTGGGTCTGGCCCAGTGGCCAATTTGCCCACTTCTATTCTACAGTGTAAAAGTATAAACTTTATTCCAATTATGTTCACTATGAAAATAGCTAATTCAGAGTAAAACAGCAATAAATACCCTTGGAGATTCTACATTTGAAAACGTTGTTTACCTGAGTCTGCTGGCTTTGAAGTTAGTCATGGGTCTGAATCCCTATTCTGTTGTCAAGAATTTTGCCCTGTTGCTACAAAATGTTTTTAATGACCTGGTTTATTTTATAAGCAATTATTTGGGTGAGGGCTTAACAGTGGGCCTAACTTTTCTGTAAAGAAAAAAAAATCCGTGCTGTACAAGGGAATGGGACTTAAGGTGAACGTGACTAAACAGCTGGGGGCAAAGGGCCTGTGAGGAGCTCCCCCCACTACACCCCAAAATTCCAGAGGGCTCAAAGGAAGCCACACAAACAAATTATCTATACAGCTGGACCAAAGCTGAAAGACTAAAGGAAGCAAAAAATAATTCCAAGACAAATTCCCTTTATATAAAAAAAGAGCAATAAATGGGCAGTAATCATTGTTCTCCTACGTTACTTAGAGCTAACAGCAAATCGGAAAAGGCTGTATTTGTAACAGTTCCCAAAAGACTGTTGGAAAACTGAAGTGCTGGGAAACAGAGAAAGGCATCCCACGAGATTCCCAAGAGTCCCTCTTTCCAGAATGTTAAGAAATAAAAGCTAGGAACTCTCTCCCAATACTGATCAACAAAGACATACCCAGAGGACCTGTATTCTGGGTCTATGAATTTTTTTATTTCAAAAGAATTAACCCAATCACTGGGAAAGGTTTTAATTTATGGCACTCCTATTGTTTCAAAGGTTATATATTGTGATGAAAAAGGAAAGCTGTAAAAAAAAAAGAGCCTGTATATAAATGGATGCATTGAAACAGAAAAGGGAAATTTGCTGATAGACACATCCGGTCTCACAGGCCCACTGGATTACAAAAATCCTCATTTAGACGACATTTCTTACCATCCCATGTTAACAACTCACCCTGGAGCAATCCATTCCCCTGTATTTCTAACCACTCTTGCTTAAATCCCATATACCTTCACCTGTTCAATACACTACAATATTCTACAGTGAAAATCAAAGGGGGAAAAAAAGACAGAGACCAGTCGCATACGTACAAGAGTGGCCTGGATGACAGTGGGCCTCCGGGTACCGTCTGCCCATAGCGACAGTCAGCACAGGTGCCGCGGAAGTTCCCAAGTACTCGGGAAAGACTGAGGTGGTTAGCTGCGCTGGGGGGAGACAAAAAAAAGGTAGAAACAAAACAGAGACTTAAGATAATGGCTGCGGGTTTTTCATTAAAATGCTAATGATGACCACAAATTTCCAGATAACCGTGTTTATGAATTATTCATAGTCACATGTGAGAGGCAGTCTCTCTGACCCTGCAGGCAGGCCCGGAGCTTGCTGGTGATTAGCATGCAGGCCCTGGAACAAGTGTCACAGGCGCACAGGTCACTGCGAGTCTCTCGATGCGGGCTGGCCCTTGTTAGAAGTCCAGGCAATCCCATCGGCATTTCACTGACGCGCTTTAATTTCATTCTTCCTAAGGTCAGGGAAAAGCACTAGCCTGGCTCTTTGCTGTGATATCTGAACGGATATCCTAAACATCCTAAAAGCTTGAAAAAAGAAAATTTTCTGTCTTGGAGAGGTTAGGTATCAAGTTGATTTAAAAAACAACACACCACTAGTTGCCAGCTCAATGGATTTTCCTAAAGTGAACACACCAGATCAAAAAACGAGAACATGACTGGCGCCACAGGAGTCCCCTTCATGCTCCCTACTGAAGGTACATGTGTGTGACTCATATACGTAGATGACTTTTGGCCACTTTTGTGGACATCAAACTGACTTACTGTCCGTCCTAGTTAATCTTTCATTTCAAAACCATTTTCTAAACACCCACTATATGCCCAGCCCTGTACTAAGTACTAGAGCTCCAAAGATGAGCAAGACACCGTCTCTATGTCCAAGGAAAGTCAGTTCCTTTGCACACGAGGGATGTGTACAAACTGGCCCCGCCGTGTGGCAGGATGAGTGTAATGATTGAGATTCACGTCAAGCAGGGGCACCTCGCCTGGAAATGGAGAGGCCAGGGAAGGCTTCCAAGAAAAGGGATGCCTGGCATGTCCTCTTAGGGTGGGAGCTGGGCTGAGACAAGACAACGGGAAAGGCAGAGGTTAGAAACTGCACGCAGCACTGCTGGACACCGTCCAGGGTGAACCAAGACAGCTGGAGCCAGATGTAGCCCAATACACGTATCAAAAAACTCCGACTTTATCTTGGTTGCAAAGAGCCACGGACTCAGAATCAGTATTCCTGGGATGGGTTTGAGTGGAGGCAGGGAGGTCCGCTAGGACATTTGGTTGTTACAATCACTCAGACAGGACAGGAAGGGTGGAGGTAGGTAGGAAAGGGGAGAGAAGAATGAGCTCTTAGAACCATTCAGAAGCTAAAAGCAGAACCTGGCTGACTACACATGGGTGGACGCAGTGGCGAGGGAGGTGAAGAACACAGGAGAGGAGGGAAGGCAGGTTCAGACGGTTCAGTGAGGGCATCAGAGACCGAGCGTGGGAGCTGGAGGTGGGAGGACTCACATGTTCTTCTTGTCTTTTTCCTCAGTCTGATACAGAAAGATTTACTTACTTCCAGGAAATGTTCACGTAACAAAACCCCCCATGATGCTGTTTGAAGCAAAGCACGGTGGAGGGCAGGGGGTGAAGGGCAGGCAGGAGCTGCCAGGGAACCCCGAGGCTCAAGCACCTGCTGCCAGCCCCCAGCCCCACAGCAAGCTGATACACAGCCTCATGGCCAGAGAAGTGGGTGCCCCTCGGCAGGGGGTCGGCTGGGGCATCACCCCAAGGTGCAGACCTGCACAGGGTGGGTGTTCTCTCCTGACTGCCTTGCCCCCACCCCAGGCACTGCAGCCACCTTCGGGCACCAAGGGCGTTTGGCACAAGCAGCCAACCCACATATTCTTTAGTATGAAGCCTGAGGCACAGAAGGGATTAGGACATAGAAGTGACAGAGACCGTGTCAGTGGGGGACATCGCAGAATGAACACGGCAGAGGGAGAAGATCACAGAATTGGTGCTGAGAGCAGAACCCAGGAAGGATGGCAGACAGGTACCCAGGATATAAAGAGATGAACAAAGATGAAAAATGAGAACTACGCACCTTGGGACCTGACATTTAAGAGGCACTGGCCACCCCAATTGAGGGTGGTAGTGAGCGATAGAGTGGCGGAGATACAGAAATGACGGAGCGGGTGGGAGACCCAGGAAGGAAGACAGATGCCTGCGGGGAGGCTGAGCACTCACTGCCAGGCGTGGCCGTGGGCTGAAGACTCAGCACCGAGGGAAAGGCTGAGACTGTAAGAGGGAGGACATGAAGATGGACTCAGATCTCAAGAGAGCAAGGGAGGGATCCGGAGTACAGAGGAAGGGGCTGGCCTTGAAGAGGAAAGGGAACCTACAACCCTTTGACATTCGCAGCTTCTCCCCTTATCCACAGCGAGACATTCCAGGACCCCCAGAAACTGGAATAGGTAGTCCCGAATTCTATCTACATCTACTATGCCATACCTATGGTAAACTTTAATTTATAACTTCCCCTCAGTAAGAGATTAACAGTAACCAGTGATAAAATACAACACAACAACAAAATACTGTAATAAAAGTTACGTGAAAGTGGTCTCTGTCTCTCAGAATATCTTATTGTACCACAGCACAAGTGATCAAAACTAGGCAAGATGAAACCAGGGATACAAGGTACTACTGTAAAGATAAATCTGGCTACAGTACCTTTATAATTAACACCTTGGGACTGCTGGAGGCAACAGACAAAATGACATCAGTGCTCTTGAAAATAGCTGGCAAGGCTCTTTGTTGACAATGAACCAACAAGGAAACGACTGAGGACACAGATCTTGAAATTCTTGGTTTCTGGAATGCTAGCCGGCAAAATTAAAGCAGCCCAACCCTGTTTCAAGGTAAACAAACACGCATGCCAGACTGTATCAAGGGAGAAAAGAGCATTTGTGAGGTAAGCACACCCAGAGTAGAACTCAGGAGGATCAAAAAAAATTAGCAAAAGATTTAGAAGAAGGCTCTTCTTAAAATGATCTTAGGTTTGGGGTGCCAACTTTTCTGGAGATTTATACAGTTTTGTTACCACCATCTTACGAGCTTTGCTCAGGCCTATAGTCCTAACACTCTGGGAGGCCGAGATAGGTGGACGGCTTACCTGAGCCAAAGCAAGACCCTGTCTCTAAAAACAGACAGGATGTGAAGCCACCATGCCCTGCCTTGTTATACATTGGCCGCTTGTAGTCCCAGCTATTTAGGAAGCTGAGACAAGAGGATCGCTTATGCCTACGAGTTTGAGGTTGCTGTAAGCTGTGATGCCACATTGCTCTACTGATGGTGACAAAGTGATACTCTGCCTCAAAAAAAAAAAAAATTAAATAAATAAATGTATAATAAGGTAGGACATGGTGGCTCACACCTGTAATCTTAGCATTCTGGGAGGCTGAGATGGGTGGATTGCTTGAACTTAGGAATTCAAGACTAGTCTGAGGAAGAGCAAGACCTTGTCTCTAAAAAACAGCTGGGTATTGTGGGTGCCTGTAGTCCCAGCCACTTGGGAGGCTGGGGCAAGAGGATCACTTGAGCCCAAGAGTTTGAGGTTGCTCAGAGTTATGACGCCATGGACTCTACTAAGAGTGATAAAGTGAGACTCTGTCTCCAAAAAGAATAAATAAAAAACAAACATATAATAAATCAACAAACCCATACATAAGTGAAGAGATTTCAAAACTAAGGGGTAAGGAAGCCAATTAAATGGTGAGAACAGAAATAGTCTTTCTGGCTCAGCACCCGTAGCACAGACAGTGGTTAAGTGCCAGCCACATAGACCAAGGGTGGAGGGTTCGAACCTGGCCCAGCCCTGCTAAACAACAATGACAACTGCAACAAAAAAAAAAAAGCTCAAGTGTTTTGGCGAGCGCCTACAGGTGCCTGTAGTCCCAGCTACTTGGGAGGCTGAGGCAAGAGAATCAATTAAGCCCAAAAGTTTGAAGTCGCTGTGAACTGTGATGGCACAGCGGCACTCTACCAAGGGTGACATAGTGAAACTCTGTCTCAAAAAAAAAAGAAAGAAAGAAACAGTCTTACTATTTCTTTCTGTCCTACCCTAATTGTCTCAAAGCAAAGCTACAAATCACATTCAGCTGCATTTACTTTTCACAGGAAAATCTTTATGAACTCATAAGTAAATACGACATGCTAAGTTGGAGGGCCCTGAAGATATGCAAACATAAAATGCCTCTTAAATGGGGAATAGGTAGGTCTGAACATTTTGAGCATACAAAGACTCAGCCATTGCAGGCTTCACATCTGCCTGCCTTCTGAGTTCCCCTCCCTGTGAAGGGCAGGCCGTCATCACTCACACAGAGAGGTCTCTCTGCTCTCAGAGACAGCCTATTCAGGGTGGACCCGCTGGCAACGAGATACATAGTAACGAGATAACCAGGTCTCACTTTCTAGAAAATTCTGAAAATTCACCTCGGTTACAGGTCTTTGTTTTTGTCCTAATATATACAGAGGGCATAAAAAAATACATGCACGTTTTAAGAAAGGAAAAAAACTGAATGCAAATTGTATTAATATACACCAGTAACGCCTGTCATCTTGTATATCCATCACCTGCAACTGCAGAGGTCAAACGTGATGTGAGCGTCACAATTTGCATATAGTTTTTCCTTTCCTTTTTATGATTTATACTGTTTTTCATCATTTAATTTCTGAAATTGTCTGATAGAAATATCTTAGGGTTATTTTATTGATGCACAATAGGTATATGTACTTTCAAGGTACAAGTAGTAATCTGATACATTCATGTAATTTATAAAGATCACATCTGTGTACTTAGGATATCCATCACCTGAAATATTTACCTTGTTCTTCCCTTTCTTAAAAATGTGTACAGATTTCTTTGGCACCCTCTGTATATCTGTCTGCTATGCACCATTTTACTTCTTCTGACGCGTAAGTTGTGAGGCATCATACTGAATACAGTTTCTACGTTACGCAGAGGCACACACACTACAGCATCTGCCTAGAAATAACTTGAATGACAGAATTTCCAAAAATAAGGGATAGCTTCTCTCTTAGTATGTACTATGTGACATTTTCCTGAACTGCTAAGAAGTAAGTTGATCCTAAAAACATCA